CGAACAAAGTGTATAGATGAAATCAATATAGTAACAAAGATGGTTCTTTACATGAGAATAAACTGGAATGAGTAAGGGCTAATACAGAAATTATTTTCTGAGCTATTTAATAGCTATTTACTACTACTGTTTTAACCAGTGCAAATAGACTTGATGAACTGGTATATATGTATTTCTAAATGTGCGATTTCATTTATTTTTTTTGGATTTTTGGGGCTAACAGTCGAGGAAAAATATCTGATGAAAACATTATTTTTTATAAAGACATACCGTATAATTCAACTTCACATAAACCAATATATCGAAGTGTATCAGAATATCGACTGATATTAACATAACGACCAGTTAAAGTTCCATAACATTCTATTGGAAATACAGCAGGAGGATTCGATGATCCGGTATGTTGAAAGCATAATTCATTATCAATATGTACCGAAAATCCTTTAAAAACATACAATCCTGAAATAACAAGTTAAATCTCTATAACAAACGTCCATATTTTCAAAAGCATATACTAAACTAAAAAATATTTTTAAAGATCCTTGGAAGAGTAAAAGTGGTTTGACGTGAACAGTGTTTGGTTGATTAAACGACTGTAGTGGCCATATCATAAAATCCTTGCTTATAGATATTAGGTGACCTTATCAGTGATTTCAGTATATTACTGTGTAATTTGAAAAAAATAAAAATCTTACGATCATATCTGTGAAAGATCTTTAAATATCCTATAGGATATTCTTCTTGTAAATCTATAAACCACCACTGCCAAGTTGAGTTATCAGTCTCAGTGTCACTACGGTAATGTATGTTTCTATTGGTATCGTTATATCCATCTACAACTAGTTTCGGCCTATATAGACTTGATCTATTGCTATATATACCACTTTGACTGACAGAAGTAGAATCTAAAGCTATATTCTCTAAAAAAAACAAAAATAATACCTATATACATATATATCTATATCAAACAATAAAATTAACAGACTATTAGACTTATAGAAAATTACACATGGTAACCGGAAACTGTAGCCCTTTTACAAGTTATAGCATCGGTATTATTGCCTGTATTTTCATACCAAATACTTCGTAACAGAACGTTCTACTGTTGGAAAATATCTTATCTAATATCTTGTTGACAAGAAGGTCCTCTCCAGCCTCTCGAACATCCATTCCTACAGTCACCATTTTTAATATCACACCTTTCATTATTTAAACAATGACAGGTATAATAATTGTTAAATCCAAAATTATAACCTGACAATATAACATTCATTATTACAAACACTAGTTACAGTATCGCACTGCAAAAATAATTCGGTTCTCTCCAATTCTCTCCGAATAACTTCCAGTTGCTTTTGCACTAAACTTGTTCTGTTATAACCAGAAGTTATCCAGATAGAAAAATCTACATCTAGAGAGGCGAATTTTGTCTGGATACGAGATAGTAACTATGTATTTTGGACATGACAGCTCCGGGGGCTCTACCTACGGCTTTACACAGAACGTTGCTGGTATATTCAAAATCTAAATGCTCATTTAAATGGACCCCTGGACCATACTACACCCTAGCTATTTAGACCCTCTACAAAGTCATTTATGAAAGATAGCTTGCCAGGCAAGGTAACGTACGCCCACTGGCAGCTGTCAGAAATGATTGAACAGTCTTTAGTGACTACAGGGTTGCACAATATAGCTAATAGAGTGAAACGTCAAGTCAGACACGATATTTCGGTGAAATATTATCCGATCATCGCGAAAATCGATAGGGATGATCTTCATAATGACATTGACATACAAAATAAAAATCAAAAGAATCTGTAAACAATTGTAGCCTGTAGAGTGAGCACGAGTTGCACAATATAGCTAATAGAGTGAAACGTCAAGTCACACACGATATTTTCGTGAAAAATTATCCGATCATCATGAAAATCAATAGGGATCATCTTCATAATGACATTGACATACAAAATAAAAATCAAAAGAATCCATAAAGAACTGTAGCCTGTAGAGTGAGCACGAGCCAAATGTGAACGGACGGACGGACCGACGGGGTGATTACAATATACGCCCATCTTACGTGTGGGCGTATAAAAACGCAAATACTGTTGGCGAGCTGCAATCACCTTAACGAACACCTGTTACTGTCGGAAACCAGTCAGATAACATTCCATTTAGCTTAATACAAGATGACGAGTCGGAGAGTATTGACTTCACAATATTGCAAAATTTCCCATCAATGCCGTTAGATATCAGCTTTTAAAAATTTCTGGAAATCATTAAACGTTCCAAACGTATGTTGTTTTCGAAATAATCGATTACTGATCACAGTACATGCTGAAAACACATGATCTTCACATGATCTATTTTGTCTGAAACCATTTTGCTCGTCTGCTAGGCCACCATTTTCTTCTAGAAATTAATTAAGTCGGTTATTTAGGACAGCCGTGAACAGTTTACTTATAACTAATTCCACGATAGTTTAAAGGTATGCGTTGATCCTTGGAAAGGATTGGAGAAATTATAGCCCTTCTCCACACACTCGGTATAAGTCCTGTATCAAAACACAGATTAAACATCCCATGCAAAACGTCCTTACCGCGGGATTCTGTAGGACTTCATTTGGAATTTTTTCAAAACCTCATGATAGCTAATCACTTTTTTAAGGACAACGTTTTGCTCATAAAAAGGGTCTAACATTAGATCTTCAAGGAACAGTTTATTTTCAAGAACATAAGCGTAAAAGTCATTGTCTACTTGTACAGACCATGGAAATCTATAACCCATTTCTCGAAAACAAAATGCGGGTTAAACACAATGTTGTTTTGGTCATCATATACCTCAAGGGGGATATTATTAATGCGCTTTGGTCCTAGGTTCTTTATATGTTCCCAAAATGTTTTGGGGTTCTTTGTACTGACATTCTCAATTGTTACCGATAGCGACTTTTTCCTTTTTGCATTTCTTAAAGATTTATCAAATGTATTGCTTGCATCTTTAAAGTCTAAACGCAGACTATTTTAAGTCTTTTTGCTACCTAGCCACACCTGAAACTGTTTCTCTTTGGAACGTAAGTTAGTCCACCATTTTCTAAAGATTGGTCCTAATATGACTTAAAAGCTTTATATAGTTTTCTAGTTCTCTTGATACAGTAAAAGGACGGAATGGTTTTATTCATTTCAGAAATAGCAATTCACACAATTCATCATAAGACTTGTCAATACTTTCTTGTGTATCTCTACCTGCTCAATATTGTCAATCACCTTTATGAAGGCTAAAGTACACAAATCAGAAGTCAAAATGTCACAAGGCAAATGTTTCAGTTCAAAAACATGTGTAGAGAATAATGGTCTAGGTCTACTCTGTATGGGGGTTGTTTGGTCATTGTGATAAATGGTAGACCAGTCAAAACAAAATCGCAAGATATTTTGGTCTGGTAATTTAATGTGCTCATCTAAAAGATTTTAGATTTCGGGGAAGGGAGGGTTTCATTCTCCCAAATGTACAGGCCTAGGGTGGAGCAGACACTTTATTTAGAAATTAGGATTAAGGGTCTTGATATTGGGTTTTCTTCTGTTCTTATTCTGATCTGAAATTAGAAAAAATAACTCGCCCGATGGGCGAGAAGTATAGTATCTGTTATGTACTGATTGTTTTTAGTTTACTATGAACAATATTATCATTTAAGTTCTTATTTTTTGAATATGCAACTATCATTTTCTGCTTATAGACATGTGGGAATTTCTCTTGAAGGCTCTTATAGTGGGCATGAACTATCTTGCTTGCTCGATTGCTGGTTGTATTAAACGGGACAACAAAGGGTGCTATGCCTACATTATGATGAATATTTAGTCCTATAGGTCTTGCTGTATTCAATGTCTCAATCCAATGGGCCTCCCTAGATTGACGGAATTTGGTAGTTTCATC